ATATATATATATATATATATATATATATATATATATATATATATATAAGCTTTTTGTTTTTTTCTTTACTGAAATTCTAGTCACTTTTACAAAAACTTTTTAAAATCAACATGACATTGTAAAAAGGTTTTCATTTTTTCTAACAAGTCAGTTTTTATTGATCTGAGCCTTAAGGTTTTGAAACAAAAAAGAAGGAAATCTGTGTTTACTTTGTTATTTCTTTGTTGTAAGAATATTCCAGGCAATAAAGTCTATACAATTGAAATGTTGTTAAATTTCCTCTTTAAATTATGTCACATTTGAATGAAAATGCATTTGAGGGTTGAGCAGCAGAGTTGAGTATGTGAGATGTATCCAAAAAAATTGGAAAAAGACTGTCAAAATAAAACATTAAAATAAATTATTAGATTTATAATAAAAGTATATAAACTAGTCGCTCCTGTGTATAAGCCGTGGAGTCTGAAGCATGAGAAAAAAGTAGAAGCATATACACCGGCAATTAAGGTAATTTTGACTGTAGAACCACAGGAAGTGCTAGTCATGTACCTGGTCATCCAATGCAATATATAAAAAAGGCAGAATAAACTGTGTTGCAATGGCAGAGAAGATTTTGAAAGTTTTTCATGAGTAACCCACAAATCTGTGTATACAAATCTGTGGTCTGTGTACACAATTTCGTTCCACCTCATGTACCACCTGTGATCCAAAAGACAATAAAGAACCTTGACTTGACTTGAAATGTGTTTATCTAACAAATGTGGCATCATTAGGGAAATAAAGACTTTCAATTTTTTTTTTTTTTGGCAATTTATTGCCAAGAAGTATTGTTACAACAAAGAAAATAAATCTACCAAACACATTTTTATACTTTCTGTGTTATGTTTAGGTCAGAAAATATGAGTACCATTGTTATTCATAACAAAGTGGCAAAGGTTTAGGTCATTGGTGAAGAAGAGTTGCACAAGTCCAGTATTTTCTGGATGACATCTACCTTTATATTTCCTTCCAGGGCTTTACAAAGCTTCCCAATGGTACAGCCAACCGATCCTTCCTTCATTTTCCAGAACTCCAGCATCTGGTGCACCATCTCTGGCAAGCCATCACGAAAGTAGTCATGCTCTATGGTTTCTACGTCCACATTGGTCAGACCCAAGCGTCGCGCACAGCGTTTCCACTTGCTCCCAATGTTGTCCCTTAGCAGATCCAAATGTACCTCATTTACAGCACATTTGTCTAAATAAAAAAAGGGCAGAAATGAATGAGTGACTACTGAAATAATGAGAAATTCTAAGTAAAGTTAAAAATGTTGTAGAACAATACAGGAGGGCAGCAATAAACTCCTGGAACTACAACTTTATAGTTAAAAAACAATATTAAGTTCAATTCAAAACTGGGATATTACTAAAAAATTGTAATGGAATGTGAAGCAATGACAGTATTTGTACAGCAGAGGGAACCCCTAATGCATCAGCTTCCACGTGTCAACTCATACTATTAGAAGTTTTTAAAACTCCAGGAAGGTCAAACAACTGCAGAAACACAAATCATAAAATCATCATTTGTTCTCTTTGGGGGAGTGGTGG